TCGCTATAGTTAACAATTCAGTAATTATTATCATTTTAATCTCATTAACGTCTCATAGTTTTTTTAATAAAAAACTTTATTTCCGCTTGATAACCTTTAACGCATTGACGCATCCGAGGGGCGGAAAAGAATTTACGTCGAATACTTTCGCGTTTCTAAAATAAACCACGGACGAAGCGTGTCCTTTTATTTTTTTTTCACATTTCTACGGTAGCGCAGCTTAGGTATTCGAAATAGCAGCGTGTTTTAATGACATCTCGTTTGCGTGCATCTACAATCCGTAAAAAAAGTTTTTATACGTTTATTTTCGAAACTCCTATTATATTTATTACGTGTAATACGATTAGAATTATTATGAAGTATGCGTTAAAAGAGCACGGTACGGTTCATTCGGTACTACATATCCTCGTACACAGTGTATTAATAAATTTAGCACCTAGTTAAATGCCGTTAATAATTAATTTCCAAAGGGCAGCACAGTCGTCAGATTTATCAATGATCTGGTATTTATAGAATGAACTCGATAAGAGTGAGTGAAAAAAAGACATGCTCATAAAGCAGTCTACGAAAATAAGGAGTACATGTTGTGCTCTCTTAATTAATAAGAGTATCAATGTCAGATTTTGAAATGGTTATACTAATAATTTTATGAACTTGGAAAGAAACTAATGGAGACTAACAAAAAACTGCAAGGACGAACTAACAATCGTTCCTAAATAATATTGTCATTTACATTCACAAATTTAATTTAGATCAGTAATCTAATTAAGTACTACGTCCTTATTACCCAATTGTGTTAATAGAAATGTAATATGCATTGAGAATATGTCCTATAGCTTTCTATAACATGAGTTAAACATTAGGCTTCGTCGTAAAATTTAAAGCACCCCTGATTGCGAATAATTCGAATTTTCGTATACTGATACATAGAATCTGATTGTAAACTTTTGGCTCGTAGTGTACGTACACATGTTATGAAACTTCGAAGGCGTTTGGCCTTCTACCAATTCGTGGCGTTCTCATTTCACAGCTCTGTACATTTTGGTTTGGGATACACGACGGGTTAAGTCGAATGAAAATTTAAAAAATGGGAAGAGGCAATTAGATATTCATCACACACGTTTTTATCAAGTACTGAGACAGTTATTATGGCAAATTGCGATTTTAAATATTTGAACCACTCCGGTCCCTGATGATTATCATAGGAAGATCCATCGAGGAACAATCTTCGAACAATGGGGGTCAACGTGTTAGTTACCTCATTACCGACGATTACGATATACGAATTATCCAGTCGATTAGTCAGATCAATACCTTGTAAGAAACCTCAGTTAACATTTCGAGCCAAATTGATTTCGAGGTCAAGGTTTACTGATCACGATCGAAAATTTAAATTACATGTGGCCGCATAGATAATTTAATGGATTTGATATGTCATATCATTATAACTGTCCATCAACGTGCGTCACGCGTTAATAAATCATTTCTAGTAACAGTTTTTACATAACTGATTTATTACCATTTTCGTGTCTCCGCTCATGAAGATCGAGAATTAATGTCTCAAGTTGTGCCTTTGTTAGAAACTTCCTAGCGTAATACTTTCTCATATCAATTGTCCTCAATAAATTGCTTGCATTTAAATTATTGTACAATATACAAATCAAGAATCATCTGATTCAGTGTATTAAATACTTTTTGCAATTCACTCCTAATTACGAGAACTAAATCGTATTTATTTAAGTATTTTGCTTTACGATCATGCATTGTCATTAACATATAGTATATATTTTTCGACGATATCCTTTGAAAAGAATTAATTTGCTCAACATTTTTTCCTAGCTTAATCGGAAGTATACATGACAAATGTTATGTTAAACATCTTTAAGTATCATATCTAAAATAAGACCGTTTATGTCTACTTGGACAAGTACAAATTACGCAATAGAAAAGCGATGGAATAATTATGCTTCATGATTTCGAAGTTAAAAGCTTTATAATAGAGAGAGGAAGTTAACTGAATCGTATTTCATTAAAGTTCATTATTCTGATTTAGCTGATTCTCATGAACAATGTTGGGTATTTACGATATGGTAATTCCAGTGATTTCATTCCTATCAACAGAAACACATCCGATTAGGAAATTACCGATCGCGATTATTTTAATTTTTTAGAGAATGGTTTCAACACTTCAAAGAATTCGTATCTTGAACTTGAACGTTGTATAGACTTTTTGCACGGTTCAGAAGATTATAAATAATTAGCTCTTATAAATGAACTCTGTAATATGCGAGATGACATTACGCAACGCAATCTACCTTACGCGTTTACGTGATTTCCTTCGTGAGCAATTATATAACTTCAATTATTATGAGTCAAGGCTGACACCAATTTAACTTCAGGATCCCAATTTCGCGAAGAACTCTTGACCTGTCTCTTGCGTTCTGTTAAAACCGCAAATCACAGTAGTAGTAAGCATAAGGAAAGAATAAAATTCATTTCATTTCATCCTGAAATCAGATATCTTCGTATTGTGAAAAAATAGTTCATCGATTTAATTAATGCTGAAATCACTAGAAACATGCAACAATTCCTTCTTGTAAGTCGGCATCGCAGGCAAACTCTAGTTCGTTATTCATTTATTGCTAAATAATTATTGATTCTATTTTATGCTGGTCTGATATCTTTCGTCAGCATAATTTCTGCATTTTCTTATTTCCTCTAAGAATAGTCTAAAAGAATCGGTTGTTTCAAGTTATGTCAAGTTTCGTTCGAGAATAATTAATTAAAAGTAGTTT